ACTGTCGACTGCTTCTGCTGTTGCTTGGCTTCTTGGATCATTCCGTAGAAGGCTATCCACATCGATCGTCTTCTTGTGGTGATACGGTAGTAACCTATCTATTATTACTGAAATTCTTATATATATAACCAGCACATTCCACTGAAATACTGCAACTTCTTGCAAATCTCTCACTCATTAAGTTAGAAAAGGACAGACATTACATGAATGTTCGGCTCTTATGGGTGGTACGATGTCAACTGTCTATGCGTTTGCTTGAAATGTGCACATTCTTCCCAGTCATTTGTTGTAAGCGCAATTTAAATATTCGAATGAAATGACTAAATTTTAGATGTTATGCACAGCGTTACTCGTCGATAGATTACCCTCACCACTAGGATATATTCCGTGTTGGGCAACGATACTTTCAAGCTTCATTGAATCAGTTGTGACGGATACTGCACGAATCGTTCCGATAGGCAATCACATATCTGTATTCATTCCTGCGACAGAAACTAGACTGATGACGAAATTTATGGATGTTATCATGCAAACATCACCTGGTTTGTCCTTTTCCCCTGAAGAACTTTTAATCAGAAAGTTTGCAAATTCCTTTTTTGTGTCACATAAAATGCATCGAATTTTAGGAATACAACTCAGCACGTCAATGATAGCTCGTCAATTGCGTGATATGGCTGACAGGTTCGAGTACCACTATATCGATGAGGAACAGCGCTCTACATGCACACCTGCGCCATCATCGTCACAGGTCAGCATTCGTTACATAACCTCCCGGGGGATTGTCCTATACAGTAAAAATATGACTCACTCGAAATTAAATAAATCCCACATTAGATTTTGTGTAAACAATGCAAATCTAATGTACTGTAATAAAATCCTAATCTTCGTAAAGGTTTAAAATTACAATTATTGCGCAAATTGTCTAAAAATGCGCCACTGACGCCGATTTCTGAGCAGTATACTGTGATGTAAATCATCTGAATCCTTTACGTTTCCGTTCTGAAAAGACGATTCCAATCTCTGTAAATGATCAAAGAATAGGAAAATTTTTAATGAATTATGTTTGGAATAGCAGACATTTCGGTGTTTAAGGCCCAAATTGCCAATATTGTACCATTGGAGTTTCATCCAATACTGCAACGTTTTTTAACGCTTTGACCGACCAATTACTTCTTAATACATCAAGAAGTTTTGCTTCGAATTCTATCCAATAATAGTGGATACTCACCAATTACACCAAAATTGAAATTAATTTCAGCTGCGAAGCCTATCGTTTTCAACTTTCATCACACTCACTGCAAAAAATTTTGTTAATGCTTTGCTGAAACGAATATTCGAGCGGTTTTATCTGAGGAAAGAGTGAAGTGGGTGTTTATTATGTACCTATGTGTGATATTTGTCCGTTATATTAATTGTAGCAGATAAGGCATGCCGATCACGCACAATGCTAATTGTTCCTGGTGGTTGAAGAAAGTATATATGGCAGGAATGACGGAAGATATGTAAGATAGAATGATCTGGCTATCCAATACCATATTTTAATTATCAAATATAATGCTAATTATTGACATTTATTTTTGTATTTATTTTTTGTATTAATTGGTGCTATGCAATGTTATTAGCAATTAAATGTAATAATATAAGGAATTTTTAAATTGAGAAAGTATAGCAAAAATTGAAAAAAATGGGCAGAAAACGAATCAATTTATTATAATTTAATTATTCTCGAGCAGCACATAACACTGATAACTTGAAGACTACGGTATTGATAGCCGAAAGGTCTTAACTGTGCGGTTGGTGGCTTTATAAATGACGTAATATGGAGTGACACCTGGTCATTCAACTTTGGCACTTTAATTAATTCAACTGTAAAAATTCAATAATCTCAAGCCGAAAGCATTTTTTACTACCATTTACAAGTGCCCAATGAGTGCTTCCGCATAGTAACCACTCTTCAGAGCCATTACTCTTCCAGTTTTTCTACTATGAAAAGATTAATTCTATCAAACTATTTGTTGCGCCACGTGGCTTTCTTCAGAAAAGTATTAATGAGAGAAGGATTGAAATAAATGTTGGAACTGTAATTTCTAAAATATGCAAAATATTGCAAAAAAAATTTCTGAAAAGCCATTTAAGCGTTTGTTTACCACTAAACCTAATCTGTGCTACCATTGCTGATCCATCTGACCTTTTATAATTATGTCAAAACAACAGTAATCTTAGGTAAAACATGTGGTATTTATCTAAGCACTTCCACTCAAATGGTTAATGGTAGAATTTTTCACACTAAGCTATAGACACATGTAAACTAAGCTAATAGTGGACAATGGCCTTGAGACTGAATAGTTATCCAGGAAGTCCTTCTAGCGTGTTGTTTTTTCGATTGAATTTGCACCTGCGTAAACGTTCAGTGAAAAATGATGGATGGGCAATTAAGGGAGATGCATTCATATTTGCGTACTCATATCGAATTACATATTGTTAGGCAAGATTAGTAGCTCACACTTCTAAATAACATCATTTACAGCAAATTCACTTATAAAACTTGAAATGTTTTGCCGATGTGAGGAAATTCTCTGCTTATGATATTCTGTTGATCTACAAAAAATTTCTACAAGTCATGCATTTGCGATTTCAAAGTGCTATCTGTTTCAGTTCAGAAATATCAAAGTAGTTTTTCCATACGAATCAAATCACCAAAATTCAATACAGTATTGTATTTTGTTATGATAGTGAAACTGAACAAAGTTATAAATTACCAGTTTCCCCTTCAGATGATGCTTACAATAGTAGACGTAAGATTATTCCGTGTAATTTCATCCAATATTTTGATCATTTACAAATTTAATTAAACAAATTTGCCAAGCGAAAAAAGTTCATTCAAGGTCAAAATGGCATACAACCAGTAACTGATTACATTCAAAAAACCTTCCAGGCTGTTTTTTTTGTTGTACCAGACTTCGTATTTTCCTTTTTATTGATATAAGAGATATATACATTTTTCAATAGCATTATTCCTTCAAACCATTAACTATCGTCTTTGATGAAT